TAGTAGTACTGACTCCATTTTTACAGCTATTTTTACTGCTGTACTGGTAATACGGACTTTACATTCTCGCAACTTGTTAGTTTGTGGCATGTTACCTAACTGTCGCTAAATTGAAATTACCCAAATGCAGCGCTGAAGAAAGATTAGCAGAGACAAAAAAATATATATCTGAACACAAAATCTTGTACGTTGAGTAAACCAAAGTTTGTGATCGGATAACTGATGTCAAACTAGTTCCACTGCGGACAATGACAGAAATCTACAGATTTTGGATTTTAGTATGTTGTACCTCAGTTGGGGACCTGTCTCAGTTCTGGGCTGAGATAACTGAGTTCTGGACTGAGTGACTGGGTTCCGAACTGAAACAGGTCCCCAACTCAGACACAACATTTTTCTATCTGTTTTCCTAGCTTACGCCATTTGCTGTTACACAATGAAGTTTCAAGGAAGTGCTCTGTTCCGATAAGTGACAATAGATAATCATCTTTACTGCTTGATTATGTCACATCTGCAATATTTGTTTGGTTTTGTGGTGACGTTTTTTGGAACAAATTCTATATATTAATATGGTAACATTTCTCATGGTTGAGTGTTCTTCGTATATCGTACCATTTTAGGAATTTTATTTATACACTGCTATGCTGCTAGTTTTGAACTCAATATCTGGTCACCTGATCATTATCTTCCCCTGCATTCGCAACCGCTTAAAGCTCAAATTCTTTTAACGTGAAGAATTCTGGAAAATTACTTACGTATGCTCCTTCTGGAACTTGGTTCGATGAACGACAATTCAGAAGATACAGTATGTGTTTAAGAACTTAGGCTGTCGACGGTCTTGTTTAAAAAAATAGGAAAGAATTTTCATAAAAAAAAGTTTGTGGAGCTGCACAAAGTTAATATGTCGTGGGGGTATACAATATGCAGACAGAATACTAACATAACGGTTGCTGTACACAATTTAAACATGCTAGTAAAGATAACTATTTCGGTACAATCTGCACCAGTTCTGAGCGATAATATGAAAGATAGACTTCCAGACAAAGCAACTAAATTTTGTGCATGGGTAAACCCGACGGCAGCTTCTAAAAAAGTTTTGTGGTTTGCAGAAGATGGTTGAGTGTATTTTGATGAGATTCACTTCACCATTATACGTACAGTCGCCCTCCATATATGGAGAGTCAGTATTTTATTGGTTACACGTGATATGTTCTTTTATTTATTCATAATAATGAAAAACAAAATTAAAATACGGTACCTGTTTACTATTTTTGATTAAAAAAATTGTCTATGGTTGTTTGTTTCTTTGCATTCATCAACTTTAAATCAATGTAGTAATCAAGAGCATTAACATGGTTAAGTAACTCTTTAGAATCTTCTTGCTGTTGCAAAAAGGAGCGAACTAATTCTAAACTCTTTATAGCTGTCATCAATTTTACTATCATTGATATGAGCGTCTAATGCCGAAGGTAAACCTCTAACAAAGATGTTAAACAATGGATTTATTTCTTTCATGAACGATTACAAAATTCTTTATCCGTCATTAATTCTTTATTTACCTGACCTGTTAATATTAAATGAAGGATGATAAAGACTGTGTTAAACAACAATGATTTACGAATTTTTTTCGATAATATGAGATCTTTATACGAATTTTTTTCAAATAGAAACAAAGTGTAACCAATAAGACAACGTAATATGTAAGTATTACAAATCACACTCTTTGTATGATCTTTACTTTGTTTAGATATCCTGTGTAATGGTAATATCATTTGTTGTACAAAATCACGGGCGTGCATATATGGAGAGTGGATTTTTCATATAGCGGGAAGTGAACAACACCGTGCAATGCAGAATATAGAGGGTGTGCATATATTTACTAACTCCCAAGCTTGGGAATAAGACTTGGCGTGCATATATGGAGGGTCGACTGTATCGTTGAAAAATGATGCATCGTTTAAAGTAATTGTGACGGCTGATGCTGAAATCCTCGTGTCCGATTTTCTGTTACCTAATCGTTGCGGGTACCGTGGCTTATAATCTCAAAAATCAAGTTATGGAACGGTCTTAAACAGAACCGAATCGGATCCAAAATTTCCATTTAACAAAATGGCGTTTGAAATTCATAAGTTGCTTGACAAACAAAAGGCCATTGCAATTGTGGCTGTTCAAAAAAGTTGCCGAATACGTGAGGCGTTTCGAACCCTTTTTAGAACCGAGCAAGATATATTTTTATTGAAAGCAATGAATGGTGGAGAAATAACTGGCAGCAAAAGAAGACGCGTACTAATAAAAGAACTTTTTATTATTGAGATCGCCGTCCGCCTCTTTAACAGAAAACGAGGAAGACGTCAACGTCAGAAATCGCTTGACGACGAAGGGTATGCGTACGTAATACCACGTGTTCATGGAAAGTACCGCGATGGAGAACCAAAATAACAGTTGATATAACCGTTGCTACCGCTGTAGTGATTGTTATTACCTTTCCTTTGTCTTCATTAGTTGGTATTGGCAATTTAAGTGATGAATGAAATTAATTGCCTGGTTAAATAAATCGAGTGGGAAGTGAAAAATGGATAAGGGAAGTAAAAAACAGATTTTTATTCATTGACCTTGTTTTTTGTCATGATTAGAATATTATAATTATTCATTTTTTCCCTCCTTGCTCATGTAACGGTTCGTTGATATAACGAATTTTGCTTAGTACGGATTTTTTCGATAAACGGAGCTTAACGAGACATTGTTCAATATAACGGAATTATAACAGAGTGTCACGATATAACGGATTTGTCCCGAGGAATCCGTTATATCGACTTTCACTGTGCACTTTGGTTTCATTGTGGATTTAATGCAAATTAGTTTCATATTAATGTTTTTTTTATATGGAGATAATCCTATGTCAATATGAATATAAACATGTTATAATGTCAAGCAAAAGTTTATCTTAATCAATTTGATATGTGAATTTAAAAATACAACTAAAAAACTAGTTATGGGTTGCAGGGTCAAATGTGGTTTCGTTACAGCTTGCCCCAGATATAATTGGTAAATACTGAGCCAGTGTTGTTGTCATTTGGGGAAAAGGGATCGGAGAGATATCAGGCAAATGTGAATTTTAAATTGTACATTCTATTACGATTATCCAATGGTGTCACATTCTCGGATATTATTATTATGTGTTTTGTGGTTTATTGGTTTCAACCAATGTTATCGATGCATATCTATCTATACAACACTTTTTTGTTATAGTGTTGCTTGTTTAATAAAACTTGATCACGCAACCACTAAATCATGTGATTTTTGTCGATAGAATTTCAGATTCATCATTCGTGATTTATCACGTAGTACGCGAAACAGGTTTTAAACCTATTCCTTCTTCGAGAAGAGTTGTTAAAACCGCCTCGGGAAATTTCGCCGCGCAAGTCTTAGTGATGTGTGAAACGTTCATGGGTGGGTATTTCTACTGATATAATTGTTAAGTCCTTTAAAACGTGTAATATTTCAACCGATTTGGACTCGGCTGATATCAGTGACGACGATGACGATGATCATTGGTGGGACTGATATCACGGATTAATCTTTCCAACGATTGTATATTTTTTGGACAAACACTAATAACTTGTTAATTTCATAATATTTATAAAGCCAAATTAATTAATTAATTATTTATTTATTTATTTAATTTTTCCGAAGCGTTGCTTATTTTCGGAAGAATACGGTATAAGATTGTCACACAGAAACAGTGAGAACAGGACCTTACTTCTCAATAAAGGCTGAAGAGTTATTCATACCTCAAACGAATCACCAAATGGGAACGCTAACTGCGTGGTTTATCGAAACCATCAGCTATGAGATGCTTAAGCTTAAACAAATCACACGATTGACTTTCGCATTGGCGAATCAATAGACTATTTATCCTTCATATATTTGAAGACTTTTCTTGCATGACAATCAAAATAAGGAAGTTATATACTATATACGGCTAAGTAGGCATTCCATTGAAATTTTAATTGTACTTCTACTTTCCTACCCAAACACTTTGCATCCTGTGTTTCGGCATGGCATTTTACGCTTAGGTAAACTTCGTCATTGTTGTACTTGAGCGATTGTACTTAAAAAAGAATGCCGGACATTGTGAAATAACCGAGGAGATCACAAACTAGTAATCCGTAATACTAATCCTGTTGTCATATTATACCATAGCTCGCATGTGTGATTAACAAATAATATGCATTGAAAAAAAACTTTGTTTGACTGACAAATGGGAAGCGTTATGAGCAGATATCTTATCGATAACGGTTTTGAAAGTTGAATTTGTATCACTATTTTCGGGTATGAGACAGAACGAATTATCCAACGTGTTCGATAAAATGCGCGAGAGAAACAGCTTATCATTAACGGTGGGAATAAGAAAGAACAGTGTATGATACATCAATAAACAATTGTAACATTCGAAATAGAGTAAGATTAAATTTCCTTGCGTTGGTGGGCAGACGCAAAAGAGCCAATGTGTTAATATTGTTGATAATGCCACAATGTCTCAATTTTTAACAAGTAATTGACTGGTGAATTAGGTTTCAAACATTGTACGCTGATCAAGAGTGTTGGACTTAAAGCAGATAAAGGTTTCAGAGAGTGCGTATGATTGGCAATTGAATGGAATGTTAATATTAATATTGTCTGAATAATAATAAGCGCTGTTTTTCTTATTGGTCACCAAGTCCATTCAGTTCTATCTAAAAAGGGCTAACCAAATAACGGTGCGGGTATAACTTTTCAATGGGTAATGGGGGCAACTTATAGGCCTGATTTGGTTCCAAATATTGCACAAGCTCATTAATATTAACTTTCTTTACAGAATGAAGCTTTTCAAATTTTCGGATCGGAAACCTATAAAACTGGATATGCGAAATATGGACTGGTTTTTTCCCCAAGCAACAACACATCTATTTGTTATTGACGCAGTTCTCCCTCTCTCTATACACGTTCCGCAGTAAATAAAAATGTATAAACACATATCGAAACCAGTATCTCATTTGCAAGAGCATTATGATGTAGTAGTAATAGGCTCTGGATACGGTGGCGCCATCGCCGCTTCACGCATGTCCCGTGCCAATAAACGAGTTGCTTTGTTGGAAAAAGGTAATTGAATGATTCAACGCAAATACATCAAATCATTGCATTGTATCAACATTTTTTCTTGCTTTCAGGGAAGGAAAGATGGCCAGGAGAATATCCAGAGACGCTTTCAGAATGTCTAAAAGACATACAAATACATTCAAAAGCAGGCCATCAAGGTAAAAAGACTGGCATGTATCAATTCTATCATGGGAACGATCAAGAAGCATATGTCGCTTGCGGGTAAGTACAGTATAGTTTTAAACGTTCCCCCAGTCTATGATAAAAGATTACGCCTGGTTAATTGGATAATTTTATCGGATATTAGTCTTGGAGGCACATCGCTCGTAAATGCAAATGTTGCACTAGAGGCAGACGAGCTAACATGGCGACGGGAAAAAGCTTGGCCAGCCGAAATTTATGCAGACCACAATAACGGAAAGATAACACAAGGTATTTCGATGAACAACCAAGATCAAGCGTAATTTAATAGTAAATTAATTTACGGAATGAAAAAACTCAAACATACCCCATCGTCCGTTATCCAGCTTACAAGCGAGTCGAGCAGATGCTCGAACCAAATGTTTATCCATCTCACTGGCCTGAACTTCCCAAACTCAAAGTCTTTGAAGAGCAAGCGCGTCTGATGGGCTCGGAATTCAACGAAAACTTCCGCCGAGTGCCAATCACCGTTCATTTTGAGAATCGCGTAAATAATGCTGGTGTGCGACAACATAAGTCTACACTTACTGGAAATGACGCTACGGGAATTAACGATGGAAGTAAGAATAGTACATTGATGAACTATATACCTGATGCATGGAATCATGGCGCAGAGATTTTCTGCGAAATTGAAGTGAAGAAGATTAAGAAGAACGAGAAAACTGGGTTGTGGGTCGTGTACTATGAATGGCTAGGGGTAAGATAAAAAAACCGTCTCTATTAAAGTTTTGAATGAGCATTTTCACAAGAGCGGTGGTGGTCTATTGGGGATATAATATAGCCTTACAGTAAATTCTTTTTGCATAGGATGGAAGACCACACTTTGGGGAGAAAAATTCCCAATCACTTATGTTTGTGACTGCCGAAGTTGTATTCGTTGCTGCTGGTACCTTTGGTACTAACGAGATAATGATGAGATCAAAAGCACACGGATTACCCATAAGCAAGGAATTAGGAAAAGGCTTTTCTGGTAATGGTGACGTGAGTAAAAAAAAAAACCTTTATTTTATTTTCTATTTTATTGTATAATATTTTTTATCCCTTGGTTCGGGTACTTAATATCATCACCGGCTCTTATGACAGATTTTGGGATTCGCCTATAACTGCGATCGCTTTGTAAACGGTAATTTACATTTTCCCATGCGGTAATAATTATGACGGTTTAATTTATTTTTTTCTTCTTACTGATTCGAATTTCCGTTTTTGTTGTCCTTTTTTAATCCTCGAATCAGGTGTCGGCGCGAGTAGTCGCGGTAAAAACACTGATCCTGTCGGACCATGTATTACCGGCATCATTGATATGCGCAAGAAAGACAATGCCTTTGATGGCTATGTAATCGAAGAAGGCGTCTGCCCGCTAGCCGCCGCGCGTTTCTTCTCGCTCCATTTGAAATTAGCTTATAAAACCACCGGAGATTCAGCGAATCTGTCGATTTCACAAAAATTTCGTGGCACATGGAGGGACTTTGTCCCTGGGAGCGCGTTGGGTCGTACCCAAGTATTCTTAGTAATGTCACATGACGACCAGCAAGGCAAATTAGAACTCGAAGATGATCGTCTCAAGATTGAATTTCCGGATGTTGGCAAGACCGATCAGGTAAAACATATCAACAAAGTACTTTCAGATGCGTCTCATGCTGTCGGTGGCACATATGTACACTCGCCTGTATGGTCCAGCCTATTCAAGAAATCGCTCGTCACTGTTCATCCAATTGGGGGCTGTGTAATGGGCGATGATTCAACTGAAGGAGTTGTCAACTATAAAGGACAAGTGTTCAAAGGAGACGCTGAATTCAGCACTGAAGTGCACGATGGTCTCTATGTTTGTGATGCGGCCGTCATTCCTACTTCTCTTGGGGTGAATCCGTTTTACACCATTTCAGCTCTTTGCGAGCTTATCTGCGAACGCGCTGCTGAAGATAGGGGTTGGCATATTAACTACGATTTGCCTAAGCAACCGATCGATTTTGATAATCCGTTAGTGGTGTATCCAAATAATAAGACACGACATAAATCAATTGTCAATGCAGACGGAGGACTGAGTTTTACAGAAGTTATGCAAGGCTATTTCTCTACTGAGATTGTTGATCCTGAAGCATTTATTACTGCCGAGGGTAGGGTTTTTTTTTTTTTTTTTTTTTTTTTTTTTTTTTGGTATTTGTTGAAATACGTAATTTTATTAATTATTGCTCAACTATCTAAATGTTTTTAACGACAGACCAAGCCCAATCATCCGAATCTAGAATGCAATTCCTTCTGACTATTATAGCATACGATTACGACACTTTAACCAGCATTGATAACCAAACGGCTGATATTGTAGGAACTGTTTCATGTCGCGCGTTATCTCCAGATCCTCTAATGGTTACTAGTGGCAAATTCCGTATTTATGTCGAGGATAACAGCCACGTTGACAGCGCTCGAATGATGTACAACATGAATCTGGTAGATACAGGCGGGAAGCAATACACATTTGAAGGGTTTAAATTTGTAAAGAATTCCAATATATTTAATGCTTGGAAACAGACATCAACTTTGTATGTCACCGTAAAGACATTCAATGAACCGAGAAAGATTATTGGGTTGGGAATTTTGAGAATCGGAGTTTGCAATTTCCTCGATCAATTGACTACGCTAGAGGTCAGTATCTCTTTAGATTTTGAAAATTTTTGTTTCGTACTTGTCATATAATTTCCTTTGCTTTATAAACGTTTTAGGCTACCGGCCAGACAGAATGGTCAAAATTGAGGACGTATTTTACATTTTTGAAGTACTTCTTCACGCGCTTCTTGGATCACTATATCCCAGCATTTCTTCCACTCGAATATCCTGAAGATAGTATTCCGGTATACAACAACCAGAAATCATATTCGTTGCAGGACAGAATCGAGGAATCTTATACATTCACGGCAAAGGATGGAGTAATTGGTAAATTACGTAGATATAGACTACGTGGCCGTAACTTGAAAGCACCTGTTCTTCTGGTAAGTAAATTCAATTCGTGAAACCTTGATGAATTCGTGAAACCGTGCACTTGATAATATTCTTGTATGTTATTTGTAGGTTCATGGCGCAGCAATGACACACGAGATGTGGACAACTGATCTCCAGAAAAATAATTTGTGCGATTACTTGCTTGAGCAAGACTACGATGTGTGGTTAATAGACTATAGATTGTCACCAACTGTTAGGGCTTCTCAGGAGCAACATACGTTGGATGATTTGGCTTCAGACATTGCTGCTGGTGTGAACAAAGTTCGAGAGGTGTGCAGAGTGGAGAAGATTGCAGTTATTAGTCATTGTTTAGGATCAATGGCTACGTTTATCGGATTGCTGACTGGCGAAATCGTGGGTGTTGGATCATTTATTGCATCACAAGTGGTAAGTAGCTTTAATTGATATTATTTCCGATAATCAGAGTAATCTTTTGTGCATTTGTTTGATTTGACACCATGTATATGTTTCTTTTTTCTCCTTAATTGTTTCCAGGGAATGCATCCAATTCCTAGCCTTTTCAATAAGGTTAAAAATGCTACCGGTTTACTCCATGTCTTCCGGGGTTTATTGGGACAAAAATTCTTCGACGTACGAACGTCGCGTGATACCAACGTATTGAACAAATTCTTGGATTTCATTTTCCGTTTTCTTCCATTTGGGAGAGGACAATTTTGTCGTAACGCTTTGTGTCACAGAGCAACTTTCTGCTATGGCCCGTTGTATAGGCATGAAAATATCAATGAACATCTTCATAATGATCAACATCTATTCTTCGGAACTGTTAATATCACAACCATGGCACACGCGTCATTGGTACTCAAGAAAGAGAAACTTGTGAAAGCAAGCGGGGAAGACATTTACGTTAACGAGAAGAATATTAGAGATAAACTCAATTTTCCCATTGCATTTGTCTGTGGAGAGAAGAATGCAGTGTAAGCATTTTTACGAGAGAAGACGTTTTGCTCGCGTATTTATAGTGAGGAAATTGGAATCCGCGGCTAATAATGTCTATTATTGTTTACCCTAGATTTGACCCCGAATCAACCAAACGATCGTATGATCTCTTGATGCATGTCAATGGAGAAGATTTGTACGATAGACATGTTGTAAATGATCATGGCCATCTTGACGTTTGGTGGTCTAACAAATCAAAGGACGTTACATTCGGATGGGTGAAGAGCAGGCTTGAAGCTACGGCCGCACACTTTTACTATCCATCGCAAAAAGTACCAACAGTACCCAATGGTAATGGCAAGACGTACGCGAACGGATCTTTAAGATCGCGAAGAACAAATTAGCTTATTTAGGGCGTTTGTCTAATCTCAACGGGTAATATTTGTATATATATATACGATTGAATAGAAAGGTTTAACAATTCTAGATTACGACAATAATCAAATCGCTCTTTCGCTGACAGCTGACACATCTTGGTATTATTCAACAAACCAGACACGAGTTTGACTCCCCCTTTTTTTTTCACTTAGAAGTTAATAACCAATTTAATAAATATGAACATATGAATACAGACTTTTGTTAAAATAATTTTATTCGCTCATCAAGCGAGAAGCAGACATTCTATATGCAGTACGAAAGTTATGGTCTCGTGACCTCCGAGCGAGGTTTGTCGTCATCGAGATGATTGTATATTAGCAAAAGTGCTACGATAACTGTTGTATCGGAGAGCAACAGTACTTAGTCTCTAATTGGATGTTTGGCATAAGCTAACTGACTTGATATTAGCAGGGCGCAGTACCTAATAATCGTCGATTATAACTAACACAAATAGACTAATTTGAACTAGTGTATAAAAGTAAATGTCACTATTACTATAATGAATAGTAGGTTGTGTTTTACTCTCGGATATTAATATTAAGCGAAATCACCCATTGCATGTAGATTTATATAGCAGGGTTTATCATTTATCACTATACTTTAAAATTTCCAGACCAATAGTTTGTCAAAATATGGAAATCTGTGGCACTGATAATCCGGAGATTTTAATAATCTAACACGTGATATATCATTCCGCGCTTATAACCATTACTATTACTATATTAATATTAACTAACATCATCTTCCGCGGCATTTTTGAAATTCAATCAGCAATGACTAGCTTTGACGCAGGGCATGAGGATCTAATTCACGATGTCGCTTATGATTTCTATGGTAAGCGACTTGTTACTTGCTCTTCGGATCAGCGTTTGAAAGTCCGGGAATTTGTAGAGGAGACAGGTGTTTGGGAAGATGTCGCTACTTGGAAGGTACATGGCAGAGTCTGAGAGATAGATAGTTTTTTAGACTGGCAAATTTTAGCGAGAAATTGACTGGTTATATGGTTTATAGGCTCATGATGGATCGATACTTCGCGTTGCTTGGGCCCACCCTGAGTACGGTCAGGTCATAGCCTCTTGTTCCTTTGACCGTACTGTTCGCATATGGGAGGAACAAGAACATGGTAAATTATCCTTGTTTTGTTGGTTGGTTGGGGGTTCACTTTACGTTGACAGCATCGACTAATTAGACAATTTGCTTCACAATAGAGCCAAAGAATAGTGATAACCGTTTTGGAATGAGGGCTCGACTAACAGAGAGTAAGAGCGCCGTACAAGATATAGAATTTGCTCCGAATTTACATGGATTGAAATTGGTAATTCTGTTAGGCATTTGTTAGTGATTCGATCAGCCTACTTTATGAATTTTATTAATCTGTTAACACATCTTTAAGGCCGCTGCATCAGCAGATGGAACTATAAGAATGTATGAAGCAATGGAAGTCACTAACCTAAAGAAATGGACACCGCTAGAGGAGTTTAATGTATCTGGTAATGTCCATATGAAAGAGGCAGAAGGTAACTATTGTATATCGTGGTGTCCATCTCGATTTCATGCACCAATGATTGCTGTTGGCTGTGGAAAGGAAGCACGGGTGAGTTGTTCGAATCATCATTGGTGAGAATGCGTTGTAGTCGGATGACCATATAACAAACGTAATAAATTTGATTTGTAGATATATAGACAGAATGCGATAAATAATTGGACTGCAATTATAACACTATCTGGCCATAAAGATACCATACACGACATTAGTTGGGCCCCCGCAATGGGAAGGTATGCAATTGTATATGAATACATTGCGTCTTTTAGATACTTTATTGAATAAATGGGTTATATTATAGGAGCTATCAACTCATCGCAACTGCATCGAAAGATCATACCGTCAGAATATACAAGCTGACGCCGACAGAGTCAGGATACGTGTTTAACGTCAATACAATTGCAGAATTCTCTGATCATGGTGCTGAGGTATGGCAATTGTTGCTTGTGAAAAACTGGTTTGCATGTCCACTGCTTGCTCAATGGTTTGTTCGACTGTTTGTCTACAACAGGTATGGCGGGTGGAATGGAATATAACGGGTACTATTTTAGCTTCATCTGGTGATGATGGGAAAGTGCGCCTATGGAAAGGTGAGTTTGGAGTCATGCAACAATTATTAGATTTATATAATATTTCTGATATTTATATTATTTGCTCTTTAGCCAATTACAAGGGTGAATGGAAGTGGTTGAGCACTATCGACTATGACAAACCAAGAGATTTGATGGAACAATAACCATGTAAAGCATAGAGTCATGTAATAAATTTAGTATTATTATTCTTCCGCTAACTAGTGAGTTGTTCTAGTTACAAAAGGGGGGGTTGTTTCTTTGGTAAATGTCAGTGATTTGGCCGACACGCGTTAATAGTCATAACAAGATATTTTAGCGTGTTTTTATTGGCCACACGCTGATGGTGTTTATAAGCATGCGTGATACGAGGAGTATCATACACATAGTACATATCATCCTTAACATCACATTAAATAAAATTATTAATATTATTCTTATAAGTGAAAATTGAAATATCAACGTTACATTGATCGACTATGGATTAGGCTACCAAAAGATACACGCAATAATCAATACCGTGGTAGTATCTGAATACGTGCAATTCTTATCCTTTATTTAGAAATCAGCGGGGCAGGTGGTTGTAAACATTGGGTCGATTATTTCGCGTAGCTAATTTCTTACATAGCCTTGGCCCATGTTAATGTAGATCAAGTGATGACCACGCATAAATTTTTGTAATGTTGTGTAACACCAAGATTTGAGTCGATCGTGCTTCAACGCAGACAAGTATTTTCATTCTCTCTAACATACACGGTTTATTCGTTCCTTAATATACGAACAAGATGGCAGAACAAATAGCTAGAGGCAATCAATATCAATATACTGCCAACTCCAATCTAGTACTTCAGGCAAATAGATCAGAGCTGCCTCGTCGAGATCATGAACCCTCTGGAGAACCGGAATCACTATGGGGAAAGATCAATCCAAAAGATTTTGGAAATAAAGCGCAGAGGACTAGTATAAAAGATTTGAAAGCAAAAAAAGAAAAGGCAATAAGGGCCGAGGAAGCTGCAGAGATGAAACGACGGAAGAAGGAAGAGAGTGCACTAAAGAAAGCCTATGGGTATTCTAACGTCCTGGCTGCTACGGAAGATCTTGAAGGTTTAAGCTACCGTCCCAGAACAAAAGAAACTCGTGAGACATATGAGTTAATTCTCGCCTTTGTTCACCAGAACCTTGGCGATCAAGTCCAAGATGTCATTCGCAGTGCAGCTGATAATGTATTGGAAATACTGAAAACTGATACCTTGAAAGATTTTGATAAGAAGAAGGAGATAGAAAGCATTATTGGGACACTTAAGGCTGAAAGGTTTGCACAGCTTATTAATCTTGGGAAGAAGATCACAGATTACCAAACTGGAGATGCTATGGACATCGACAAGGACGGTGAGCGCGCCGGTGAAATAGACGATGAGTTAGGCGTTGCTGTAGTGTTTGACGAAGAGGAAGAGGATGAAGATGAATATGGAAAATTTGAGGTCGAATCGGAAGAAGATGATGACGAGGCAGGTGTTGAGGCAGAAACAACTGGTGTGCTCGGTGTGGGTACTGTGAAAGAGGATGAAGACAAAGCACGCTTATCAGAAGATGAGAACGAAGGATTTAAAACTGTAATAGGTCCAGAGATTAGTAAATCGGTTAAGATAACAGGAGCTCAGGCAGATCAGAAGATTTCTCCTCATGATATCGACGCTTTCTGGCTACAGCGTTTGATAGCCAACTACTATTCGGATCCACATACAGCACAAGAGAAGACTACTAGTACAATGCAGATTCTGGCATCTGATATTAATACTCGCGATTGTGAAAACGAATTAATGAATTTGTTTGATTATGATAAGTTTGATCTAGTCAAGATACTTACCCGTAATCGAGATCTTATATTATGGTGTACTAAGTTGGCCAGAGTCAGTACAGATGCAGAGAGACAACAATTGGAACGTGAAATGAGCGAAAAGGGAGTGAAATGGATTCTTAAGGATCTTAGTGGAGAGAGAATACGCAGAGGTGAAGGGGCTGCTCGCAAAGGGGTTGTTGAGAATGCCATGGAAATAGACGAGAGACCGGCGCTTATTCAGGGACCATTACCTGCTGCTGTTAAGGCTACGTTACCACCGGGAGTGACTGTTGCACCCAAAAGTGTCATCGATCTAGAATCGCTGATGTTTGCTCAAGGTGGACATTTGATGACCAATAAGAAGTGTAAATTACCTGATGGCTCATTCAAGAGATTATTCAAAGGCTATGAGGAAATTCACGTGCCTGCCCCCAAACCGAAACCGTTCGCGGCTGATGAGAAAGAATTACTTATCTCTGATATGCCCGAATGGGCTCATGCTGCGTTTAAAGGTACTGAAAAACTCAACAGAGTACAAAGTAGAGTATATCCCGCTGCATTCAAGACGGATGAGAATATATTACTTTGTGCGCCAACGGGTGCTGGTAAAACTAACGTAGCTATGCTTTGTATATTAAATGAAATTGGCAAGCATCGCGATGAGGACACTGGTGCGATTGATTTAGATGCATTCAAGATCGTATATGTTGCACCAATGAAAGCATTAGTGCAAGAAATGGTAGGCAATTTTTCGGTTAAATTACAACCTTATAGCATCAAGGTGGCTGAGTTAACAGGTGACCGTCAACTTACTAAACAACAAATAGCAGAAACGCAAATTATTATTACCACTCCTGAAAAATGGGACGTAATCACTAGGAAAGCAACAGATAGAAGTTATACTAATTTGGTAAAACTCATAATTATCGATGAGATCCATCTTCTACATGACGATCGTGGTCCAGTTATAGAGAGCATAGTTTCTCGTACTATCAGACATATGGAGCAGACCCA